TAATCAAAAATTTAATATCGTCGCCTCTCTTTCGACTCGCGACTTTCATTACTTCCTCGAAACGATGGCGCTTCGCTAAAATTTTCCTTTACACTCGGAGGTGACAAATCGCGCGAAATTGTTTCCTTTTTTCCGTTTGCCTTCTGCCTTGTAATATTCTGCTGTAAAGAAATTCTACACGCAAATTTTTTTGTATGTAAATCGTTGTTTTTATTGTTTGAAGAACTGTAGGGAAACCATAATGATTTATGGAAGAAGATTGTATAATATGTCCATTAATTATTTAGAGTTTATAAATCGGTATTATTGAGGGAAATTAACTTATGGAACAAACGCAGAAAATCCGTGGTAAATAACATTTCCGCCTTATTGCCGTGGAGCGGTTATAGCGCGGTGGAGAAAGCACGTTAGGAAAAACCGGGATAAAAGCAAACGTTCCGGGCGAGCGAAATGTTTTCGACGTATTTCATACGCCGCGTGCACGGAGATTAATAAATCGGGACTCCACCTTTTTAGATAATTGCTTTTCCATTGTTGCATACAAACGCGTTCATTTCCGATTTTAAACGCTACAGTTGTTTCAGTCGCTGGGATTTTTCTCGTCACGAACGATGTTTATGACCGCAAAGAAAGAATCGGCGCGAATTAAAGGAAATATATACAGGCGAGCGGCGTTAATGGCGAACCGTTCGTCGGTTTGCACCGAGCGCTGGAAGATCAATGGAAATCCCGTTAAAAGGACCATAAAGGAACGTACAGTTCAAACGTTTTAAAACCATTACAAGGGAAAATAATTTGACTTCCGATGATTGTAGGGTCTTGAATTCTAAATCCAATTTAATGAACGATTGAGTTTTCATTACTAAAGGTACAAAATATAATTAATCTAAATACTTTATTTGTTACTTTTACGTAAAATGTACTGTTATGAAATTTAAATGTTGCGTAAAAGCTGGAATAATTATCACAATAAAAAAATTATACAGTGAAGAAAAGGGGATATTATAGGCCGTTATAATTCATGAAAAACGGAAGCGAGGTTGAGCAATGTATACATAATCCACGAGTTTTTTTTATGTCGCCAAAGTTATCGCCCAAAGGGTAGAATCAGTAATGCAAATAGCCTATTTTGCTCTCTTATCATAATAAAATCTTAATAGCCTTATTGGATACAGCCTTAATCTGAAGTGTGTGTGTGTGGAAATTAACTTTCCTTGCATGTTAGGAACTTGTTAAAATTAAAACAAATCGATAACCCAAAGGAAGCTTTTAGCTGCTCTTATAACTTTTTAGCGAAACTATTACAGAGTCGACAATACGATTTTTTTTTTTGTAACCGCCAGGCACCGTAATCTCGAAGTTGGTCGTTTGCGTTTCGATCTTCATCAAATTTCGAGTTAATCGCGTAGCGGCGGGTGAAGTTTCCCCGACAACGGGGCGTTCGAAAACTTGTTACCCCATTCAAATAGGAAACAATCCTTTCGCAAGTTCGGTGCGCGACGTTGTAGCGAAGTATTTTCGAGTTTATCGGATCGGGCGCGCTCCTTGTTAGGATATGTTTGTAAAGATACGCGGAATTAACATACGGAAACTTTTTCCGGAGGAAAGTTCGCGCTTAGCGCGCTAACAAAGTCTAATATCAAGTCGTCGGAAATTGGTCCTTTGTATGCCGGGGGATTTTCGGATTTGCGAGTAAAATTGGCGATTCTCGCGGGGGAAAAAGTGTATTTCCGTTTCGGAATGTATTGCGGCTTAAATAATATATTTCGCGTAGAGAATTTTCATATATATTTCATATTTCTCTAGAAAAGAATAGGAAATTGTGTACATGTATTTCGATGAAATAATTATAAGTTTGAAGCCAGTCGTGAATCGTAATACAAGTCGCAATGTTTCTTGTATAAATATACGGGCGACATAATATATGTGGGACGAGGAAACTCCCTCCATCGATGCCCAGATAGAGATTGGTGGGCATTGTGTTAGATCAATGGACCGCGGCGGGTAGCAAACTCGGTGACTTATTGCTATTACCACTTTGTTCTTTTATCCACCCAACGCGTTTTTCCCAAAGGGTACATTTTATTCCATTTCAACGTGCGGCGAACCATTCGAATTTATACGTACGTATATAAAATGCTTGTAGATTTAATATCCTACATTGATTTCGGGGACAACCCGTATAAATAAATACGCTTTTGTATTAATTCTAACCGTATATTATTTAGAAAAATATTTCTCTTGAAGGGATTATCTAAATCCTCTCTATAGTAGGTAACCGTTATTATATAATTCTTAAGAAATGTTACGCTCAACTCAGGTATTAGGTAATAAATTTGGTTATTCGTATTATTTGATATTTACCTACTCTCCCCACTCACATAAATAGAAAATGTAAAAACCCATTTAGTCAAATCCCCGAACCTCCAAGAACTTAAATTTCCAATACGTGGATTATAATCCCCTGAATTACTTTCAACCCCCGTTATCCCTCAAATACCTACCTCCACTCCTGCCATTAGTAACCAATCAACTTATTAGAATAATCCAAAACAACCGGCAAATAATTTCCTTTGGTGAGCAAATTCCTTCTCCAATTCAGTGTCGAGTTTCTGTTAGAAGTGATAGCTTGTTTGGGAAAAATGTTTTCGAGATCAAAACGTTTTTCGTATACGGAGCCAAAAACACCTTGCACGGGAAGCATTATGAGTCCGGAAAACAATACTAGTGCTAGTTTTAGAAGAAGAAAAGCCTTCATCAACGGTAAAGTAATTAAAGACAGTTTGGAATCATTGAATACGAGAACATCCAACGACAGTAAATCGGAAAGAAGCCCGCGTGTAAAAATTAATTTGGTAAGCACAAATTCACTACTTTTTTCGCGAGTATCTATTAAATTAATCGCTTTTACAGCAAAACGATTCTGCCAGGGATAGATCTCTGGATCAGTTCCTAGTCTCGTCGCAAATTGAAACGCACAATCCTTTGAAAAAGGTAGCAAACAGTCTAAAAAGAACGTTCGTCGATAAAGTTTTCACGAGGAACGTCTACAATGTACGCGACGTGGAACGCAAACATTTCAAAAAATATCCGAGGAACGATTTAAATTCCACCTTCACGTACGATGAATTCGAAAGCGGATTAGAAGAATGCTCGGATGAAGTTTCGATCGACTTAAACCAAGATGCTAATAACAACAGCAACGAGAACGATTCCGATGTCGAAGACACTATTAAATCTCTTTTGGATGTAGCCGAGGCTTGTAATGAAAATGTAAAGAAAAATTTAAGTGTACGCTTGCAAGGAGTTAATAGCGCTACTTGCAAGAGAATCAATGCATTTCTGGCTGAAACAATCGCTTCCAATGTGGTTCTTATTGATGATGTAAGTATAAAAAATTTGTTTTTGAGCTCTTTTTTCATAATACACTTTCCAGGTTGATACGGAATGCAGGAAAGCGGCTGATGGAATGAATAACACTATTAAACAAATACTTCTGCAAAAGTACGAAAAAATGGCCAAGAAGGAACAGGAGTTGCTACAAAGGAACGTTATTTTGACAGCGAAGTTGAACGAAATGAAAGTGGTGGCTAAAAATTTGGAAACGAGTTTACTAGAACTGAGAAATGCTACTAAAAAGAAGGTTAGTAAACATTATTCACACATAATTTACTAGAAATTCAGGGATTTTGGAAATTGTTACAGATTACTTACCAAGAGATGCTGATCGAATCGTTGAGAGCTGAATTAGATGCGACCAATTTGAACATCGAAATGAAAAAAGTCTTAAAAAGCCAAAAGAAGAAATGAATTGAATCAACATTTCGTGTTAAATTTTTAACTTAATAAATTTGTTTGTTATATTAATCGTTTTGTGTGTATTTGTTTGGATATAAAATAGCAAATATACTTTAATATTAGATCAATTAGCTAAATTGTTTATACCAGTTTTATTTTTTTACCACCCACTGCAGCAAAAATTTACTACAACTAACACGAGCAATGAAACGTTCCATAGATCCCTTGCATTCACGTCATTGTCGAAGTTACGTGAATTATACGCATACATTATTAATTTAACAACGTTGTTTACAATGAACTATCATCCGCATCGTCGGAATAGCCCCATTATTGTCATCACAAAGGAAATACATTTTAATTGTTGCTGTAATTAAAAGAGAACGACATCACTCGAAATATAAATTAGTGCCATATTGTGCGTATCAGGCGTGCATTATATGAAGCTGGTCATAAAGGGCACTAATTTGTTTCAAAAAGTACTCGTATATCAAACATAATTCTATCGGTATAAAAGGATTGAAGTGGGAGTGTATAATAAGTGCCAGAATTTGGTGTAATTATTTTTTTTAGTATTTAATGAATGGGGAGCTAATATTCCAGTTGTAAAATAAATAGGCATTTAAATAAACCTACCATTTCGTTATTTGATGTTGAATGCACGTATTTTCTTTCTATTCAATATGTATTTGCACATTTATCAGCTCATTCAACATTATTAATATTGAAGTAACGTTTTTGTATTTATTTAATAAATTAAACCCTACGGTTTAGAGGGCCTTTTTAGTTTATGATGTGTACACAGCTAATACATTTTTAAAGGCCATTGTGTGAACTGCGAGAGCTAAATTGGATAAATTAAAAGCAAAGTGTAGACGTATAAAAGTTGGGCGAATTTTCCTCTTGAAATTTGAACCTCGGCGCTGATTCCGCGCCGGAGTGTTGTACTTATTTCGTACGAGACTTTAATATTTTACTTCCAGTAAACTTTTTCTTGTATCCGGCTCGTTAATACTTTACGATATGTGTACCGACACGAACCTATTTTATTATTCCTCGCCGGTGAAAATTTTATTGATACAGATATCTCTGTTCGACGGGCCATAACGTATACGGTTCGATTGAAATTTATAACGTTTCGATTTTTCTGACACCAGTGAACGCCGTACGTCATCTCTAACGAGGTAATTTATTATTTCCAGGGCGGCGACGTCGTCCAGGAGAACATATCGGCTAACATCACCGACGACACCGTCACATTGGAATTCCAAAGATCCGACGGCACGCTCGTCACCCAATTAATTGACTTCAGGAATGTACGTGTTCTCTTTTCACCGTTCGTTATCGGGCGATCGGTTTATTAAATCTGGTTGTTCCAGGAAGTGCAAATACTCAAATCGCTGATCCTCGGCGAAGAGGAGCGCGGCCAAAGCCAGTACCAAGTGCTCTGCTTCATATTCCACTTTCCCAAGGAATCTTTCATCTCTTCGGATGCAATGGCGAAGCTGCGGCAGAAGAACCCCAGCGCCATCCGGTTACCGGAAGAGGATCTCGGCAGAAGCAACCATTCCATGGACTACGTAGTATTGCTCAAGCATTCCGGGATTATATCTCCTCACATAGCCGATGCTTGCGCTGAAGCCGGCTTGGCTACCTACACACTTCACGAAGACGTCGTCAAATGGGCGACAGCTCAAGGTATAAATCCTCGCCCTCCTGTTGGCGATTCTTCCATTCGTTTCTGTCTTTTGCTGCAGGTTTACCGGTGATGTCTTACAAACCGGCTTTGAAAAAATTCCCGACGACGCCGGATCGCTTCTCGAACGACGCCGACGGCGAATCGGCGCCCGCCTGCACGGACATTAAGAACATGTGGACGCCGTGTCGGTGCCACTTGGAGTTGTGCATAGGCTGGTACCCTTGCGGGCTGAAGTATTGCAAAGGCAAAGGTCACGCGAGGAATTCGGTAATGAGTTACAGGTGCGGTATTAAAACGTGTCGCGTGTGCCATCTCTTCGACTATTACGTGTCCCAGAAGCAGCAGTGTTTGTGGGACGAATGACCGTAGTTCTAGTACGGATTTTTTGTATATATTTGTATTTTGCCTTAATATTCGCTTGATGAAGAACGGACCAACATGCCTTAGAGCTGGATAGGTAATGTATAGATACTGTGGAATTATGTCCAAAGTTTCGATGATGTTTTATTTTTTATCGAAAAGTGCCAAATTGTTAATTAATAGTAAAAAATGTATATAAACGAATGCAGGATTTTATAAAAAAATTGATGGGTAAAAATTGGTTTCATTCTTTCAGGTGATATTATTAAATTTTCAACGAAATAGATTTTGGGACCAATTTGACATGGGGATTAGTAAATTTTAAGTAACACAAACACAAATGGCTTGGTTGCTAGATGAAGTTCAAACAACAAGTAATAGTTTAATAATAAAAATGAGATATTTCATTACAAATAACAGTTTAATGTCAAATAAATAAATTGTATTATTTAAAACCTATTGTTTTAAAAATTATAGACTGTTTAAGAGTAATTTATTGCATACTGAAACTTTGGACAAATTTCAATTTATTGTAAATTTAGCTAGTTTGTACATTTTGAGTTGTATAATGTAAAGAAGTTCATAATGAATAGGAAATTGTTGGTGAACGAATTACATTATTATTACATCTATAAATTTGTTCCTTAATTTATATATAAGGCAGATAAAAATGCAAGTTTTTGAAACGAAAAAGAAATGTGTTAATTATTTAATATGCTCCTAGCAATTGACAATCAATGTTCTTACTTAACGTTTAGTTTTTAATTAGTTTTGGCCTAAGAAGGACAATACACCAACGATTTCTTAAATAAAATAGGTTTAAATAACGTAATATGTTGCAAGAAAAAAGACCTTAATAAACTTTTTAATATAAGTTGTCTGTAATTTTACCTTAATTTCACAAACAAATATCTTTGCATTATAAAATAATTGCATTATCTTCGACTTTCGAGAAAATAGGTATCATGGTTATAAATAAAAAATAATCGCTCTTCAAATATATTTCTCTAATAAAACTTTACTATTTTGATCCCTTTTAGAAAAACAATTGGGGATGGAAAAAATTGACTGGACACTCGTATACATATCATATAAGATAAAGTGGTCCTTTAAAAACCCGACGGCACTCGAACGAACTCATCATTTACTAATGCATTTAGCGGAGTTAACGCAAGTTTAATTCGGCCTCTCACATAAGACACCGTTCTCTTTGCGCTCGAACAACTCCGCAACTCGGAAAGTTGGTTATGGTACTCCGGAGAGACTTTACAACTAGCGGGTTAAGAGATTTAGCCTTCGACTTATTTCCCAGGTCTATCGAAAGCGGAAGTTTATGTTTCATGGAAAGTAAATATTGACGTCGGAAAGTAAGGCTGCTGTTCGGATATCGAACTGGATACTTTTAAATGCAGTTTCCTTTTGTAAGCGGGAGAAATAATACCCGTTGTTTAGTCGGGAAATTTATTGCACCGCGAGATTGGGCTATAAATATCGCGTTGTGGAGTGTAATCGTTCATCGCGCTTAACGATTATTCGAAATTGAAATAGAAAACATAATAATAACGCCGTGTATTTTGTTGGCAAATGTTGTACATCATTTTATTAGTATACCTTTGCACACAAACCGTTTCACTAAAATTGCCTTTTCACGTTGTTACCGTCTGAGGAGCGATCGTATTCCGAGCCATAAAACGAATGAAATATCTCCCACGCTAACCCTTACACTGTATACGGGGCGAATTAAATATTCGTACTCAAGATTTTTAGTAATAACGAAATTAAATGTTTTATTTTCGTACGAAAGTTCAGAACTTTTCGAGGATTTTTCCTCCACATTCACGTTCACGTTTAATCTACTGCACTGCATATTAAGCAAATTTATCACCGGGTAATTAAATATGCAAATGAATTAATTTCGCGCGTCAAAAATAAAGCGGTCCATTTGGTACGACTGTAACATACTAACTTTAGATACGCGTTAGCGAAAATCCGGTTGCACTTCGCATATTTTCCTACTTCAAGTGACATAAATTATTCAGCAGAAACTCGACGATCTTTATATTTTAATCCCCGTTACTTGTGCACGTGAATTTTCGCGCGGAGGCGCCATTACGAATATTAAGCGACGGGGAAAAATTTGTCATCGTTTTGTGTCGGATGTATTGTGGAAGGAGTGCAACGTATAATGGAAGAGAAAATTTCGCTGGCTTTTACAGTTCGAGGCTGCCGTGCGGTATATGTTTATTCAGCGAAGAACCCTTTGGAAGTTTGCATTTTTTTGCATTTAAATTCGACGTCGCGGCGCTGAGGGTGAGCGCATTCGGAAGACATTACTTCCGACTGGATATTGGATGTATAATAATTTTTATGGAGTGCCGAAGTTTTGTATAAAAATGTAACAGAGTGCTAAAGTAGGTAGGTCCAAATGATTTCTACGAGATGAATTATATTCCTGCATGTTTCCAATTACGCTCGAGTCTCTATGCAATGCTTTTATCATGGAAACAATGATACGTAGATACTGCTTTTGTTCCCACTCAATATGCCTAATGGCGGATTCGAGCTCGTTTTTTTGTCATAGAAAATTGAAGGAAAAAAGTATTATGGGTTCTTTAAAAATGGATGCCATTAAAAACGTAATATAAAACCTGGAATTATTCAAAATGACATTGAAAAGGGAGCAGTAAAGAAGTGACAGTTTTTACTTTACGTAAAAGAATTGATTAATGTTTTAGAAGAAGACTTAAAAATTGGCAATTTACTATGTGCTACATTTAAATAAATTAATAACTTGGTATTGTTGATTGGAATTGATTGAAAATGGCACGGAATTACCAACAAAATGAATATTAACAGTAATTTCATAATACGTTCATGGCATATTTCAGTTGAAATAGTTACATTATATCAGACAGTAGAGTAATTGGTTACATTTATAGCGAAAACTAGCACTGTTTTAGGCCGGAACTTTTGCTTGAAATGAATTGTTCATATAATCACAATAACTAAATAATACATGTTGAGAAAACCCGCTTATCTAATTGCAGTTAACATGGAATGAAATATCGAATTAAACGTAAATAATTCATGAAACAAACCTATTTTTCCATATTGTGTTATTAAATCGCCCGCGAAGCTAAATTTTTCCAATCATCAGAGCCATTACAAATTAAAACTATTTTGTTTCAAAAACTGTAGGTAAGTATTTTTAATAGTATCTATCGATTTGTAAATTACCTCGTTATTATAGCAATTTAAATTTTAATTAAACTTTTTTATGTATAATTAGATGTAAGTTCCGTTGATCAGGAAGAGTGTAAGGAGTCCTGGCCTAAGAATCCTGCAGCAAAAACATGGATATCCTGCGAATTAGGTACATCAACGCGGTCGGATCATACTTTTTCAGTGTCGAGTTTTTGCCTTAGTAATAAATGCGATTATTTCGGGCGTTCGTTCACATTTATATAAATTAATTATCGCTCCAAATATTTCACGACAGATATTCTGTCATTTGTGTCGGGATATTTTTAAAAATTTTATAAAAATGAAATACGGAAAAGCTTTCGATGTAGTTCATTTAATGTGTAAATTATTCCCGCCGTTTCGTTTTGCAGCTGCTCTGTTTTATAGTATTATCATTTTTCATTATTATTGATGCATTGTGCATTTCAATTTTGTGTATTTTATGATTGGTTTATTTCCTATCCATTTTCCCCAATTTCGCTGTACTTTTTAGCAACAAAATGTAAATACTGCATTATTTATTAATTAACAATTAACCGAAACTTTTATTTTTATTTAAATTTCAGTGTAACGTTTTGGGTTAGTTTATTTATCAAAATGTATGCACGAAATGATCAATAAAACTGCAGCCCAGAGGCAATAATATTGCACAATAATTGTTTTACTACATTTATTGACAGAAAATATATGATTTTAATATCGACAAATTTTGTTATTTTTTATTTGTATTTCGCATTTTCAATTCAGTTCGCGTACGTATTGAAAATTGAACATAAACATAACACAACGAGAAAAATAAGTAGCTTTTTCCAATATATGTATTTAAATGTAAATACCCCAGCGCGCGTTATGCTAAATAACTTACCTACACTAATATTTACAAATTTAAACCCTATTGAAAATGAAACAGTCGTAAAGTCTCCAGGCGTATCGAACTCTATTGTTGTCGAAACTTTTATCGTATTATAAATTCATCAAAACTTTTTTAATATAAACTACACGAATCAAAATGAACTCGCCCCATAAAGCGATTCAACCTCTATGTCTATTTTTCCGGAAATCCGTCCGGCTTGCATTATATGGAAGTTATTCTAAAACGAATAAAAAATACAGCAACAACACTGCCCGGAATTCCCTCACGTGACTTTCCTACAGTTTCATCCAACCGCGTTCGACGTTTTTTTTTAGTTTTTTCCACCCGTCAGAGGGTTGAAGGCGATAAAAGAACATCCGTATCCAGTCGGACAAATTATTAGGTATTGAAATTATAAAATTTAAATTTCGTTTGAGATGTAAAGGAGCAAAAATCTGTAGAGTAGAGAGTTTAGATAGTAAAGAGAATATAGAGAATATAGAGAATATAGAGACTATACTGAGAGTATTCGAATTAGGTATACGGAGTTCAGGTGCACCCTTTTAAAATCAATGTTTTTATATATTACGTGGTAAATAATTGCCTTTTTAATGGGGATCGTAAGCAGGAAAGTTAATTTGTCGTTAAATTTACATGCCCTTATTTGTTTAGTTTCGTCCTTTCAATGGCAACATCTGGTTCACTGAGCAACGCAAGGCATAAAGAAGATAAATTGGTTCGTGTCCCGAGGGCGTAAGGCAAATAGGTTCGGAGGATAAAAGTACAAATTTAATAATGACTATTCGGCTTGTCTTACGCCTCACCCAAGGGAGTATCCTCTTGAGTACAGTTTGAGTGCAGAACAACAACAATCGATAAAAAATTGCACTAATACAAAGTCGAAAATATTACTCCTGATGGTATATAACTACAACTTTCTGTGCTATAGACGCACATCCTATCGACTGCGCCAACTAACATTGTTTCTCACTTAGCGTTTGGAAAAGTTACCGTTCGGCTCTCTAACTTTTTATCGTCGCCCGTCCTAACTTCGCCGTAACATTTTTCGAATAGTACGTAGCAATTAACCTTTCGTCGGGATCGGGATCGGGCCTCCTCCGGCCGCCGCGACTTTTATTCCCCTTTCGCCCCGGATCGGTCCCGATTCGACCTCGCAGTCGCTCTAATGAAAATTTATTCCTTTAAATCGCAAATCTAAGCGCCCGGATTCCCCGCCGGAAACGTGTTTATTGCGATTTTTGGGCTATTCGGAATGCTCCAAGTGGTCGTTGTCTTTGTAATTATTATTTACTGTTGGGTTTCTTTTGTGTTTGCTTCAAGGCATAAAGCACCGTTTACTATAAAAAGGTGGTGTAATGTAAACTGATTATTTAGATGGTATTCGCTAAATCAAGAAAAAGAGTACTTCGCTATAATAAATGAAGGGTAGAAAGCAGGGAATTTCATCCGAACCCCAACCTTATAAGCCAGTAAAACTCGGTATAAAAAAGATCAAATTACAATAATTCCATTTGACTTTCACCAAAGAACTAATAAATTATTCAATTCTCAGATTGATTTCCGCTCGGCAACGCGACTTCAAAAAAGACTTCTCGGCCTTATAACTCCAAATATTGTAAATGGAAATCGATGCCGAATTTTAAAATAACGCCGGCTCGTGTGCCGAGACGTTACCAAGAAAACGGGATGATATTATAAAGAACGACGTACACTTGACGCGAGGACTCCCGCTCTCTGTTGC